ATCTTTTTTTTTTACAGGTGGATGAGGATATTATGATTAATTTCTGCTAGTATGTTTCGGATGAAGTCTGGTAAGTTTTTAATGAAACCTGCATACATACATACATACATACATACATACATATATATATATATATATATATATATATATATATGTATGTATGTATGTACTACGAAATAGTCTGATATACGCAAAATTATATAATTTAACCTATATCAAGGCGGACATAATTTTTTTTCAAAATCTTGCTGAATTATAACAAAAAGCAATAATTATTGCATTAAAAAATTAAAGTTTCACGTTACTTAAGGAGGAATGACTCAGAGGTTCGTTATGCTGCATACTCCAGTAGAATTTTATTAATTATTACCGAAACAGTTAACTAATAATTCATTATAAATTATTCTAATTAACAATTAATTATGATTATAATTCCGCCACGTTCGATTTATCAAGGAGGCGATTTCTTGATAATATCGGTTTGAGGAAACGATCCTTTAGTACGGCATCTGAAATCCTTACCCCTTGAGTTGAGCAAGCGTTGGGAGTGAAGTTGGCTAGACGAACTGTTCGATGTTTGTCACTATTGATGATTCAAGCGCCCTGGCCTTGTTCAACTACCAATCCCACCAGATGATGTGATCTATCCCAGTAAGTATAGGTTCACTCAGCATAGTTGATCTATAAATCTGTGTGGTTGTTGGAGAAACATAATTGCGGCCGTGCAGGCCTCTACGCCACATATTAACTAGCCTTTCTAGCAGATGGGAATTACTTATACTCCTCTACGTATTAGTTTACACTTATCCGACGATAAGCACCGGAACCACAGACGACCCGGCGCAGACTGGCGTATGTAATATTGATTATATGGGCCTGTCGCAATAAAGATTGCTACCACCATAAAACAGTTGATAAACACACAAGTGCGATGTTTAATATAATTTTTAATAAAATAGTAACCTTTGGGTCAACTGCTTGTTGACCGAAAGACACAAGTTCCAGTGCATGTTTTTTTTTTTAACATTAGGAAATATATAGGGAGCTGATGAGGTCATTTTAGAGCATCGGTGAGAAGACGTTAATCCGGAAACAGGTTGATCCCACGGCATCATTAACTATTCCTTATTCATCAAAATTCAGCAGATGAAATTAATGCTACGAGATGTTAAATGTGTACTGCTTGGAAATTTTATACTGTATGGTGAGGTACTTAACGCTGTCTGAATCTGTGAAATACTGAGGAAAGCTATTCATGGAAAGAGACCAGGATGTTTGTGCAGAGACGTCTTCTTGTTTCATGATAATATCACTTTACACCTGACTGAATTGACACATATCTCCAGCCGTATGGATCAGATATTTAAGCGGATCGTCCCGGCTCATCTCATTCATATTATGTTTGGGCTGGAGATGCCCAATCTCAGCTTTGACAGACTGCAAACATTTTTACGCAGCCCCGTGGGTGATGAATTATTTTAAAATCTACAGCTCTTTTTCTACAGAGGAAACGTCGGAAACCTATGACTATTCTATCGGTATCTTGATAGCAACTATTAAGAGGATTTACATTCCATAGTTCCACCAGTTCAGACCTTTACATCTTGGACATGTCATGCTACGTACACAGGGTTAAATCTTGCCCTTTTCTTTTTTTTTTCGGATTCCATTTTTGATAAGGATGTGGCACTCAGACATTTTGCTGCAAACCGTTAATTTGTGCAATTGACTCCCAACAGGTTGATTCACTGATCTCTAGAATTTTCACCTCGTTAACCGCAAACTATCCCGCCTATCCTCATAATCTGCCCTTCGTTCTCTGTCTTCCGTCTATAAAATAACATTCAGTAACATGAGTAGATCATGGCCATTATAATTGGTGTAAATCTAGTTAAAATAGTATCGTTCATTTCGGTTCTCAAACGAACTTTGCCCGGGAAGCTGTTTCCCACGTAGTCGCAGAACTGCAAAGGTGTTTTCAGTCACATGATTTACCGTTTCGTGACGAGAGTAATTATGATTATAAAAGGGTGCGAATACGTCAAGCATGATGGCGTCTATACTGAAAAGTAATATAATAATGCCTATAACACAATGCCAAATCTTATGTTTTTATAACAATAAGCATGTTGCATTGGTAAAACTTTCCTCCTTACTTTACATATAATAATGTTGGATGCTGACGGTGTATTTCTGAATGATCCAAGAGGATGTTCAGCCATTATTTTAGAATCCCCATACTGGAAAATGAAGTTGTTGCAGGGATTCAAGTACTTCTACAATCACCTGATGCCACGTTCTTTGAGATGCATTTCATCTACATATCGAATATTCATAGGCTGAATAAGTAAAAAAAAAACATTAGTATGATATGTTGATAAAATACGCACAGTGATTTATAGGTCAGGTTAAAGAACAAAGAGAAAACGTTTATAAATATAACATGTTTCACTTTTGAACTAAGTTCAACAGAAAATAAAATATGGAGAAATTTCGGATTTTTTTTTATTTTTGCATTGTTTTTCATTGGTTAGTCAGACCTCACCTGTATGTGTCCTGACAAGCAGCGTTCGTGTGTATAATTCGTGTGTTTGTGTGCCACAATTATAATTGGTATATATGGGATTTGGATGATAATGTATAACCGTTTGTGTGTTTATTTATACGTTTAATATATATCTAATAACGCTGAGACTATAAATGTTAGTCTTGGATATGACCATAAAATACATCCGGCAGAAAGGCCTCTGATCAAGAGATTGGAGATTTTGAGTAGTGTGCAGCCACTTCTTAATTGTTGTAGTTCCACGTTCCACCCTGAGCCGGAGTGTTACTACCAGTTAGATTCTCTATCTATGGGAAAATAAGGAACACCGAAAGCAACACAAAAAATAAAAAAATAAAAAAATGAGAGTATAAAAAACAATTTTATAGTAAAATGAAAACCATACCTATTTATAGCAAAATTTAAAACAATACCTATGTATAATAAAATTATAAACAATACCTATTCATAGTAAAATTACCAACAATGCTTATTTATAGTGATTTTCCAAGCATAGATTTGATGTGGAACAAGGCCGAAATTAGGGGGCACCACGTGAGAATCGAACTCACTATTCAGTCGTAATCGTTCAAGCGAGACAAGCTTGCTAACCATTACACCACCTCGAGGTGCACCCAATGCCTATTTATAGTGAAATAACAAACACTGCCTATTTATAGAAAATTAGCAACAGTAACTATTTATAAAAAGTTACCAACAATGCCTATTTATAGTAAAATTACCAACAATGGCTAATTATAGTAAAAATACCAACCATTCCTATTTATGGTAAAATTACCAACAATAACTGTTTATTAAAAAAAATTACTAACAATACATATTTATAACCAAATTATCAACAATAACTATTTATAGTAAAATTACCAGAAATTCATACACAGATGTCCTTAAGGACAAATGGCACAGGGAATAAAGGCGTTGGTGAGATCTAGTGTTCAGGACCCAAAGATTTTTGAGTTCAATACCTAGTTAAGGCAGTGGATAACCTGGGGAGGTGAATTAACAGGCGATAACTAATAACTGACATACATTAGTCATGGCACGTGGAACTTGAACGGTCTACCCCAGCGAGCGAAATAAAGGGTTCACTTCGACAGTCCAAACACCTGAAAAAGGCCGGAGTGTACAACGGCCGAAACGTTGTGATAAATAAGGCAACAAAGATGAGGACAATAGTCCGAATAATGTAAACAGTGTACATAATACCTCATCTCAGAAATATAGGCAGATACTGAAGGGTGATAAATATGGCGACAAAGATGAGGACAATAATCCGAATAATGTAAACAGTGTACATAATACCTCATCTCAGAAATATAGGCAGATACTGAAGGGTGATAAATATGGCGACAAAGATGAGGACAATAGTCCGAATAATGTAAATAGTGTACATAATACCTCATCTCAGAAATATAGGCAGATACTGAAGGGTGATAAATATGGCGACAAAGATGAGGACAATAGTCCGAATAATGTAAACAGTGTACATAATACCTCATCTCAGAAATATAGGCAGATACTGAAGGGTGATAAATATGACGACAAAGATGAGGACAATAGTCCGAATAATGTAAACAGTGTACATAATACCTCATCTCAGAAATATAGGCAGATACTGAAGGGTGATAAATATGGCGACAAAGATGAGGACAATAGTCCGAATAATGTAAACAGTGTACATAATACCTCATCTCAGAAATATAGGCAGATACTGAAGGGTGATAAATATGGCGACAAAGATGAGGACAATAGTCCGAATAATGTAAACAGTGAAGATCTTAAACATTGACATGCCCAAATCAGGTGATCCATATCTATTTTTTGGCATTGTGACAATTATGATGAACTTCGGAGATTTTGTAGTATTTGGGTGGAGTTGGGAGTTATTGACTTCCCTTTCGACGACATCACTTACGTAGTAGTCCGATGGTAGGAAGTCAGATTTTTCTGTTGACGTAATCGTGGAGATTCTGACTCAACTATTCTTGAGTTGTCTTGACCTAAGGAGACGGCACAGAGTTTTGTTTGTTTGTCGGTGAACGGTTTTCCTTTGCTCATGCTATCTATCCATAGACACACGACCCTCTCCAACATCTATTTATAGTCAGCAACATCGACCCTTAATCCCTAAGGAAAGAGGTGGGCCGGTATGACATCTCCTTCATTCCTCACGACTCCCAGAATCATCGGAGTAGCTGGGATGACAGATAGTCATGCAGCGACTCTAATGACCTACAGTGGCTTTCATAACAAACGATTAAGTAACTTTCATAAAGTGAACAATCTCTAAATCACTAATCTCTGCCTTTTAAGGTAGCAGTTACACCGTACCTTTTATTTTCTGAGTTATTTTCATGGTTTCATTTAATTTATCTGAAAAGAAATGATAATCAGAACAAGTTAGCATACAAAGATGTCTCCTCAAAGAAGTGAGTAACCATCTATCTATCTATCTATCTATCTATCTATCTATCTATCTATCTATCTATCTATCTAACCAAGCTTATTCATATCTATCTATCTATCTATCTATCTATCTATCTAACCAAGCTTATTCATATCTATCTATCTATCTATCTATCTATCTATCTATCTAACCAAGCTTATTCATATCTATCTATCTATCTATCTATCTATCTATCTATCTATCTATCTATCTATCTCTATCTAACCAAGCTTATTCATATCTATCTATCTATCTATCTATCTATCTATCTATCTATCTATCTATCTATCTATCTATCTATCTAACCAAGCTTATTCATATCTATCTATCTATCTATCTATCTATCTATCTGATAAAAATATAGTTTTAAGTTATGCTATATTTATGGGTACATCAACCAATATCAGGGATAGAGCGTATGTAAATCTAAAGCATCTCAATACCCAGCAAGCATAATTACAATCTAGCCTTGTTGAATAAGATCGAATCCTTCCCAGTAGAATGAGATGGAAAGACCTATTTCTTGTAAACAAATATAACAACGGGTACAAAAATGACGATTTAAACTACCTTGGAACCAGAAGATATCCACCTACTGTAGAGGAGTTGACCGGTTTAAAAAAAATACCTTCCTGGTATCATGGACAGCTTACAATTTAAACGTACGAAAAGCAGCTTTTAAAAAAGAATTATTGGCGAAAGTAGAACTGATCAAAAAGACTAAGGAAGTATTAATAATGGGCGATGATAAATATAAAAGGAAGTCTGCAAATGAAGTCACCAAGTTCTATAAGAAAGCCCCAAGTTCTTACGTTAATTCCATCAACGATGAAGCAAAGAAAATGTCCAATAAGATGTGTATTAGCAACAAAATTCGTACTCGTTGAAAAAAAAGGAAGCATTCCTCACGGTGAAGGACCACAAAAAACTGTTTTTCTTCATTTCGACTCATTAAACCCTCTATGATGGAGCTAGGTGTTATTAGCCGAGTTATTATTCAAAATACCTTCGATTTACTAAGTGTTTCCACGCAATTCAACCAATGGCAAGGTAGTAAAGATTGCGTCAAATCTTTCAGCAACATTAAAAATAAAGAAACATTCGTCTTCATCAATTATAAGATTTGTGATTTCTATCCTTTTATTACTGAGGAAGGTATGGGTGAAACATTGGATTAGGTAAAGCAATTTCTTGAAGTTAAATCTGAGCATTTGGAGGTCATTTTCCAATGAAGAAAGTCAGTATTGTTTTGTAGTGGTGATCCTTGGATCAAAAAATTCCACAACGATAACTTCGACGTCCCTCAATGTCCATTAGGATAGTGCAGAGTTTTCCGAACTAATTGGAGTTCATATATTAAATAAATTAAACAAATTTGCTCATATTGACAACCGTGAGCTATACAGGGACGAGGTTTTCATGACCGCACCAACCAATGACGTTCTTAGGGTGAATCTCTTTAAAACATTCAAAGATTTGGGCTTTAAGATTATAGTTGAGGTAAACATCAAAATCGTCCAATTTTTGGATGTGGAATTCAACCTCTCGGAAGGCATTGTTTCCCCTTATTTGAAACCAAAGGGTTCCTTTATATATGTAAACACCGGGTCTGACCCCCCCCCCCGGTAAGTCTTATCAAATACATGGCTGGGGGGTGCAATGCATAATCTTTCGTAATTCTTCTACTAATGAGATTTTGCAGTGTATGAAAAGGCTTTGAGAGAGGGATATTATACTGGTTTGGCGTTCTTACCATTCGCCCGTGCTAATCGTAAAACCAGGATCAAAGGTGTGATATGGTTTAACCATCTCTTTGTACTGGCAGTTGATGGCCAAGACTCGTATAATATTTTTTAGAGTTTTGGATTAGCACTTCCCCCCCAAATCTCCATTAGCTTATGTGTTCAATAGAAGTACAGTTAAACTGAATACCAGTTGTACAAGTAACATGTTAAACATTGTAAAGAGACACAATGCGAAATTACTAGAGACAGAAAGAGGTGGGGGAGTAAAGACAAATCCATGCAACTGCAGGAATAAAACTAATTTTCCATTAGGTGGTGAGTGTTAAGCGGAGGGTGTTACGCGTTCTTCAGAGGTCAGCTATGGCAGTGGATTTAAGAAGACATATACTGGTTGCACCGAGGGTCCGTATAAGAAGTGGTTTTATAACAACCTCCTTTAGACTGGAGAGATACAGGAATGACAATAAGCTCGCAGATGGCGTTTGTGGGTGGAAAGTGTCGAGGACCGTGGTTTTGCGAGTGTTGTTCTAGGGACACGTGCTGTTTATTCCTGCTATAAGAAGGTCCAACTACAAGAACATGGCAGATTCAAATTGAGTCAAACCGAAGATGTAAAGAAAACAAACAAGACCGATATATATATATATATATATAAAGAAATATAGTCTTAAGGTGTGCTATATTTATGGGATAAAGTGCTCAATATCAGAGATAGAGCGTGTGTAAATATAAAAGTGAACATAGAAGTCAACACTTAGAGGCGACAGTCTGTTTCATGCTATATGCAATCGTCAGGCCACGTGTGCTGTTATTTTTCTCGGCTATTTATATATATACGGGTTAGTGGTGCATTGTGGGTATTCTATTATGGCGGTTTTTTTATTTATTTTATTGCTTTTTTTATTTATTTTTATTTTATTTTATTTTCGTTTTTATTTATTTTTTTTTGTTTTTTATTTTATTTATTTATTTATTTATTTAGTAAAATTTGTTTTTATTTCTTATTTAACAGTTTTTTAGAATTTAATTAAATACGTATAAAAATTTTTTTTATATCAAATATTTAAGAAACAAAAAAAAAAAAATAAATAAAATAAAATAAAATTAAATAAAAAATAAATAAAACGAGCAATATAACTTGACCCAAATAAATGAACAAAGCGACTTCCGGTAAAAATAACCGCCATAATAGAATACCTAAATGCACCACTAACCCGTATATATAAAATAGCCGAGAAAATAACAGCACACGTGGCCTGACGATTGCATATAGCATGAAACAGACTGTCGCCTATGTTGACTTCTATGTTCACTTTATATTATATATATATATATATATATATATATATATATATATATATATATATATATATGTGTGTGTGTGTGTGTGTGTGTGTCAACAAATATATGTATTAAAAAAACAAATTGACGAGTGACAAAGATGTTTGTTTGTGAACGTAAAGAGTTTGTATATTGGTGAAAGTTCATACGTATGTGTTTCATAGCGTTTTCCCACAAGTGGGCGAAAAGGCGGATTTCTGTGAGAGATCACATGTTTAAATGCGTTCTCTGGAATGCAAAGTAAAAAAGAGAACGAGGCAAGAAGTCGCCCAGTATTTATAGTGTAAATAGAGCGACCCCTAGTGACAATTAGGAAATTAAGGAGGAACTAACTCCGAAAAGAGAAACAAATGGCAGAAATTCGTGTATAAAGTAGAGTATTGTTAAAAAAGTGAAGCCGGGCAGAGTCCGTGGGAGCTGCTGCCGACTCTGTCAGAAGGAGAACTTCGCTATTGCTACATATTCTGACAAGGATGTATTGTTTAATGAGCGATCTGAGGCTTTATCTAAATGCAGGTATTTGAGCAAGTATTTTTTGTCCATGTACGAACCCGGATGTCCATAATTTTTCTTCTTCTTCCTTTCTTTCTGTTGTGGGACCCTCCCCTTTTTACATAAGATGGACTCGTCCAAAGTATACTTATACTGACAGAAGAAATACTTGCTGTTGTGATACATTGAGATACCTGGAGATACGTTGAGACAGGTTGAGAGATACGGAGACACACACATGGTGGTCTCAGAGAGTTATGCAAGAGGAGAGAGAGAGAGAGAGAGAGAGATGATTACGGCTTTACTTACAGAGACTAGTACATATACTTTCTACTAACACGCATTCCTGGACTACTAATCTTCACTTCAAGTCTGTTTTCTTACGTTTAATACACTTATTTTTCTATGTCAATTACTGCCGTGGTTTATTTATTTGTGCAGGATTCCATTCACGGAATCCACAACACTTTCTTCCCTACTTCTCCTTTTCTTTCACTTTCCTTCCTCCTCTTTTCACCCCGTATATTTTCTCTCCTCCTTTCACCATTATTCCTATCTTCCGGTGTTCTTACATAGAGGTGGAATTTACTAAATAGTCCATTCTTCTACTTGCTTGAGTAGGCCTTGAGGTTGAAACCCCAGTAGTAAGGTAGATTGTATTTTAGAGCTTTTGAAAATACTTTTTTTCACATATTTTTAAAGTTGGAATCTTGTATTGAGCACTTTGTTTGTGTTTGCAGCTTTTTAGGCGCGGCTGTTTTCAGTCTCCTTTTACAATATATTTTTTGTATCATATATATATATATATATATATATATATATATATATATATATATATATATATATATATTCACAGAGTGACTGTTTCGCTGTATACCCAGTTAATCACAGTAGCTTGACATCAGTCGGAGATTTTTCCCCTAAACTATCATCTCCTGGCAGAGAGCAAGGTGACTTTTTACGTATTAATTTTGGATAAACACGGCAGTGATTCAGAGTGCTCGATTCATAGAAGAGCTGTTTAGAAATTCCCGTTTACCCTCTAAAGTGCTCGACCGAATTTTGTTTATTCGAGGCGTATATATTGTCATCCATATATATATATATGACTACTTGTCTAGGTGAACGAAAATTCTTAATTCAAAACCGAAGAGAAGGCAATAGAAACCAGAATAGCTTCTGAACTGAAAAGCCATTGTAATTCAAATATAATAAATAAACGGAATGTGTGGAGGGCCATGATAATCTACCTAATGAAGTGCCGATCCAATTAAAAATAACTATGGATCCATGTGTGTGAAAGTTTGCTATTGAGAAGGATAACTGAAAACCTAACAAGGATCCCAATAGATAAAAGAGTTGATTGAATAATCCAAAGAGTGTCTTGACCCAAAGGTTTGTTAGTTCAATATCAGGCCACAGCAGATGTAGCAACAGCAGGGAGAGGTGAGTTAATAATTGAAATTAACTGAAACTGAGATACACAAAAAATGGATGTCACGTGAAATTAGAACAGTACACCCTTCGTGGACTAAATAAATGATCGGTTCGAAAGGCCAACGTATATCAGCTGAAGAAGGTCAGAGCGTACAATGGCCGAGACATCGTGAATATGAGAATAAAGATGAGGAAAACAGTCCAAACGATGTAAATAGTGTAAATAGTAACAATATCGCATCTCAGAAATATAGACACATCCTGAAGATGATTGGAGCCTACAAAAGCCG